GCTGGACATCGTTATATTAGAAGAACACGCCAAAACAACGCGTCCTTGGCTGCAAAATACGCACCGGCAAAATACTAACCGCCAGCCTCCTCAAGCAAGGGAGGCGTTTTTTTTCTGTGGTGGGGGGAGGAAATGGCCGAATGACCTGAATCGAGTGGCGTCCGCTTCGGTTTACTGCGCGCTTTTCATTGGTCCCAAGAACGTGCAAAAAAACCTCGCATTGGATAAAATCTGTCAAAAAAACAAGGGTGGCAGTTTACTAACCGCCAGCACTTGTATCTATACTTTTTCATTATCCAGACGGTATACATTTGATTTAACCCCTTAGTTCCTTTATGTTGGATCTTCCAACATAAGGGGTGTATACCCTAATTCACTTCTGTTGCACCTTTTATTTAAAGTTGGAGGTCCAACATAAGCAAATCTTATACCTGAATTTTGTATGGGGCAACGGTCCATATCCGCCCTTTCCCCGCTATAGTGAAATGAAGTCATTGATATGAGTGTAAAACGGTCACATGCACAGGCTTAGGTTTAGTTTGGTTGAATGAGTTAGAAAAGGGAGGTACACACCCACTATCGAGCGAGTGGCCACCAGCCACCAACCTCCTCACTCTTCAAAACGACGGCCAATAGCAACATGGCTGCGCCGACACCCAAGACACCGCGTCACCACCTCACCGAGCAAGAAAGGCGCCTCTGTCGCGAGGCTCTGCTAAGTGAGCGTCACGAGCGCCGCATTCGACGGACAGAGCAGAAGAGCGGCAGCGATGGAGCATGGCAGACGAAGGCGAAGAAGGCGACAAAGAAGAAAGCTGCCAAGCGCACAACGGCAGATATAAAGTTGGCGCAGTATAAAGGTCTGTATATTCCTTCAGCAAGTGCTCAGGTTGCAGACACGGCGGGCGAAAAAGAGGGCTCGCGAAACCAGACGATTGCTGAGCGAAGGAGACGATAGAGACAACCGCGATAGCGGGATGCGATGGAGGTGGAAGCAGACCACGAGACGGAAGGTGACAGAAGTCGTCGCGACATGGTTTTGAGCGTTGAAGACTGCGCTGCTCTGCTCCAACAGTCTGATATCACGTTAGCTACTACTGATTACAGTGCTGAAAAACGAAAGCGTAGTACGCAAGTGCCGACAAGAGAGCATCGCCGCTCTCTCCTACAAGAAGACAGCGATGGCGACGATGACACGGTGCGTTTTGTTCGTTTATCCAACATAGAAGGACTGTGGCTGAGAACACGTCTAACAAAATATCCAACATTTGTCATGTATGGCAAACAGATAATGCAAGGTGACGAAGACGAGAGTGCTTACGAAGCGGACGTTGTGCACGGTGTACCGGGCGTGTGTCATTGACACAAACCCTAACTTTATGGACGAAAGGGGCTGACGAATGCACCGGGCTCAACTCCGATGAGGACCCAGAGCTTCGTGAGGAACCTGAAGACGAAGAGGATGCTGATGACGATACTTGGGACGGTGATTGGGACATTGGAGAGCTGACAGATGAAGATTCGGACCACGACATCGAGGAGCTTCCAAACACGGCGTGGTTGTCCGCAGCGAAGAACGCACCACTGATCACTGCAATGCGTACCGATGGCTAGGAGTATGGTACGTTATGTTGGCCGAATCCAACATAATCCTTTCGTTTCGTTTCTGAGTTAACATAAAGGCTAGCATAGGTTTTGTTCTTGTGTTTTGTATCTAGACGCGACTTAGTTTGGACCAGACCCAACGTATGCTAGGTTGTATGATGGGCCATACGGACCAAGTGACAGCGTGCTACGCGTTGGGGACGATCCGCTGGCATTGCTCTTTTTTTTCCTGCCGCCGAAGATTGGTCCCAAATTGCTGTCGAAAGCAACCGCTATCACACACAGTCAATCCCTACGAGGGCCCGCTCAATTTGCAGATAGCAACAGCGTAGAGGTGGCGAGGCAGAAGATCTTGCTGAGATCAGACGGCGGTTGTCAGCAGCTGAAGAAATACAAACTTACGAAGTCTTTCAAGTTATGGCATTGCTGATTGCACGTATGTTGGTCCCCATCCGGAAAGGCATTGCAGCGCTTTGGTCAACGATAAAAGTCGGAGTTCTACCGTCAAACCAGCTTCAGTCTCGTGATGGGATAGAATCGCTTTTTTCAAATAATGGGATATCTACACTTTTCGAGCAACAAGTCGCCACAAGCCCGTACGAACCGAGCGTGGAAGATTCGACCGGTGCTCGACGTGCTACAGCGAACATTCGCTCGTGGATACAGAGCTCCCCCAGTCATCAGCTTCGATAAAGCAACACTGCCTTCGCGCTCGCGATACAATCCCATGAGGAGCTTCAACAAGGACAAGCCCCACAAGTGGGGGACGAAGGTGTTTGTCGCTGCGTGTGCCAAGACCGCGTACTGCATGAGGTAACTGTGGGGCAAGCTTCGGCTTGCCTTTTGGTTTTGGCCCAAGTACCTATGTGACTTGTCCACATAAGAATCCTGCCCCAACTGTGATACAACATAATATCAACTACTCGTCTCTGCTGATGTGTTTGCCTGCTAGGATTGAGATTTATTGCGGGGCGAAGCCCCATCTACGTACTCCGGTTCCAAAGGATAACAACACTGGAGAAGCGGCTGAACTTCGAAACATGAAAGCTCTCTTATCTCCGTCACCGACGTCCCCCATGGAGATTAGTGGTCACCGACCGGTTCAACACGTCGGTCAAGCTGGCGCTGAAGCTGCTTCATTATCGGATGTATCTAACGGGGACGATACAGGCGGATAGATCAGGTTACGCTGCTGGAGTGATCACTACGAAAAAGAAAAAAAAGTGAGCAGGCGCGAGGTACTGGTGCCTCCGCAAGGTACTATCAAGCTGGCTCAAAACAAGATGTTTTCGCAACTAACCGCTGCCATGTGGATGGACCGTAGCCCGGTGCACCTGCTCTCAAGTGGGGGCAGCCGCCAAACCGGCACCGTGAGTACGTACTACATGCATTGGGCTCCTTTTTGGTTGTTAGCACTAATTGTATTTGTATTCTAGTGAGACGCATCCACGGTGAAATGACGCCGGTGCCGGGTCCAGAGCTTGTTCGCGACTACCACCGCTGGATGGGTGGGGTCGATGTCCATAATCAACTCCGGTTGCAACGTTACAGCGTGCAACTTTACTACAAAACACGCAAGTACTACAAAACTTTGTTTCTGGGGCTTCTGGACATGGCGCTCGTGAACGCGTTTATCGTTCATCGACACTATCGAAAGGTGAACAACAGGCGCCCGCCAAAACACTTCTCGTTTTTTGAGGAATTGATGGAGCAGCTACTGGCAGTAGATTCAATCGAAGCGTTTGACGAGATTGAGGTAAGTCAAATGTTGACCAGTCAACATAGCCTCATCTGCTTCAGCAGTCGTCCAACATAACAACTAACTTATGGTGGGCTTGACTGTATTGGTGCAGCAAGGGACATCTGCGCAAGATAGAGCTGCCCCCTCGCCGGCAAGAGCAGATTCAACACAGCT